AAAATCTCAATTATTATTTAAGTAACCAAGGAAGCAGCCAAATTCTTTCATAGATAGGCTTCCCATAAGAAAAACTAGCTATTAAGATGAATGTATACACTAAATAGTATTATTGTAACACTTTTAATTATCAATATCATATATTTTTAATTAACCAATTATTAATTCCTCCTTAGGGCTGAGCTGAAGGTAAGAATTAGCAATCAAACACATGGACAAAAACCTTCAGCTTCGACCATTTAGTATCTCCATCTGGATGATCTTTCTAAGGACTTTTAAACAGAATTACAGATCATAAGGTTTTTTTTTTTTTTAGACAAAAATAATAATTAGAAAATTAGTATGAGTTAGATGTTAGTAACTGATTCTCAGATTGGGTGAACATTTCACCCTCTTAAATGAGGCACACAATCATCAGGTCACTTTTTGGTGGAATTTACGATAGTGATAGATTTCGAAACTCTGACTATCTCATCTAAACATTTAAAATTTGAAATCGAACTATTGAGTCTAGAAGCCAAATTCGACTATAAGGTCATTGGCAATGAAGAGCCACGTGAAAATCTGTCGGCAGATTATTATTACCTGTTCCTCCTTGACATTTTTGTTGCCACGTGGACGGAAAGGATATGCAGGGGAAAATATTGGACGAAGATAACGCAGCTACTGTTTATGACAGGACGTATTTTGGCCATTTGGGGAAATAGTAACTTCCGCTCACTGAAAAAGGCTGTCAAAATAATATCTGGCGGGAGTGGGATCCAGCGGAGCAGTAATTTTTAGACAATATATAAAGATAATTTTTTTAATATAATTTTTATATATTATTAAATAAATTTATATATTTAAAATTATAAATTTAAATAACTATAATTATTTTAAAAACAGATGGTGTAAAAAAGGAAAAAAAAAGGGTTCAAGCTGATCATAAAAGCATTATAAACTTACAGAGAAGATGAGGAGAGGTGAAAAGAATTGAGTCCTTAATTTCTCCTCAAGCTGAAGCTGCAGGTAAGAATTACTGACCACGGCAGCTCTCAAAAACACAGGAAACAACCCTCTGCTGCTTCCATTTCCTATGAGTAATGATTTATGGGACGAATTTATGGGTCGATTTTGAGGTACTACAAATGAAAACAGAGTCAAATTGATAATTATTGTTAGAGTTGTTTCACTTATCGTCCCTAAAATTATCCTATAAATTCGTCCCGCATATCATTACTCTTTAGTATTTCTATCTGTGTGGCCTCTCCAAAAACCTTTAAACAATAGTGCAGACAGTGGGGAGCCACGTGAAAATTTGTCAGCTGGATAATCATTTTTGTTGCCACGTGACGAAAAGGATGTGGAGGGAGAAACATCGGACGAAAGATAATGCGGCGACTGTTTATGACCGGGATTATTCTAGCCATTTGGGCCCACCCACTGAAAAAGGCTGTCAATTTTAATCATTTGGCGGGTCTGGGATCCGGCGGAGTATTAATTTATAAATAGTGATATAAAAAAAAATTTTATGTAATTTTTATGTATTATTAAATAATTTTATGTATTTAATATAATATATTTTAAATAAATTAAAAAATTAATTATTTAAATAATATATAAAATTACAATAAAAATAATATAAAAATTTATCTTTATATTGTTTTCTTAAGTTAAATGTTTTATATCATTTTATTATCTTAATCTCTATGGCCTTTCCTAAGACCTTTAAATGTTTTATATTATTTTATTAAAAATATTTAAATAAATTTACAAAACAAATTTAGTATAATTCACCATGTAAAACAAAAATATAAATAAATATTGTTCAAAACATTAATTTCTACAAGCAAATTATGATTTAGTACCCAAGCGGGCCTAGTTAAATTGCTCAAGCTGATTATAAAAGAATAATAAACAGAAAAGATGGTCCAACACCAAATAACTTACTTACCATCCTTTCACGAGGGATGGTGTTTGAACAGTTAAATTTTAAGTTCTAATTCAGGCAACTTCTTTCTTTCCACAATTTTTTCGATGTCAAAAAAAAAAAAAAAAACGTAAAAAGAAGATGAGATAAGATGAAAAGAATTAAAGCCCTGAAATCCCTCCTCAAGCTGAAGCTTTAAGTAAGAATTCGTGACCACAGCGGCTACTACCAAAGAAAGACGATATCCGTCTGCTTGTACTTGTACCAGTCATTGTCATTACACCTTTCTAGAAATTTCCACACAGAAGCACAAATAATAAGATGAAGAAACACGTGGGCAGTGGCTGAGCCACATCAAGTCAAGTTGGGAGACAGCCCCTTACATTTTTTCCTATTTTTTTTTTCTAATATACTAATGAAAAAGTCCTTTTAAAGTGTAGACTTTTTGGCATGGTAAAATATTAATTTTTAAATAAAAAAAATTTGATATTAGGCGTAGTTTTGTTTAAGGGTTCTTTAATTTAAACTATAAAATGGTAAGTTCATATATTAAGCATCCATTTATTATTTAAGTAACCTAGGAGGCAACCAAATTCTTTCATAGACAGGCTTCCCATAAGAAAAACTACCTATTAAGATGAATATATACACTAAATGATATTATTGTAACATTTTTAATTATTAATATCATATATTTTTACTTAACCAATTATTAATTCCTCCTCAGGGCTGTAGCTGAAGGTAAGAATTAGCAATTAAACACATAGACAAAAACCTTCAGCTTCGATCATTTAGAGTATGTTTGGTTTGACTTGTGAAAGTTTTTGTTTTTTTAGTATTATTATGAATAATAAATTTAAATTTTTATTAAAAAAATTTTAAAATTATTTTTAAAAATATGAAAAGTGAATGAAAAATAAATGAAAAGTGAATAAAAAAATTTATGAAAAATTTAGATTTCAAATTTTTAAATTTTTGTTATTTGAAATTTTTTTAAAATTAAATATAAAATTTAAAAATATAAATTTAAAAAAAAAATTTATATTTATAAAATATAAATAACATTAAAAAGCTGTAACCCTAAAATTCCCATCTGAATGATCTTTCCAAGGACTTTTAAACAAAATTACAGACAGTAAGATCATTGACAATGAAGAGCCACGTGAAAATTATCACCTGTTCCTCCTTGACTTTTTGCCACGTGGACGGCAAGGATATGGAGGGAAATATTGGACGAAGATAACGCAGCTACTGTTTATGACAGGACGTATTTTGGCCATTTGGGGAATAGTAACTCCCACTCACTGAAAAAGGCTGTTAAAATTTTAAATAGGTTTAAGTACCATTTTGGTCCCTCAACTTATCACTTTGGTACCAAAATTGTCCCTCACCTTTAAAAAGTATCAAAATTATCCTTAAACTTTCATTTTCGGTACCAAAACCATCCTTCCGTCAGTTAAATGACAGGTGGCACGTTATCTTGCCACAAAATCACATTTTAAAAAAAATAATAATTACGTGAAAAATAAACTTAATGAGATGGCATTTTTCTTTTTCCATGTGGCAATTTTTTCTTATTTAAATAAAAACCCACATAATTTAATATTAGATTATTCATCTTCTTCTTCCTCGCTTCGT